CTCATCTTTTACAGATGAGAAGATTGAAAATGAAGAAGAATTAGGAGCCTGCAACCATGAGGGGAAGTTGGGTAAAGAGACTGCACAAGAGAGGGTAATTTCTGGCTAGAAAAAAATAATTCTTTAAGAGTTAAAATGTTAATTTGATAACAGGAAAGATAATGTAATACTAATGACAAAAGGCCTGGATTTTTAAAAATTTGCAAAATTCCTATACAGTCAATTATGAAAGACAGACCTAAAACAAAAATAACAAAATATAAAAGATGCATTTTAGAAAAGGAAATATAATTCATCTATAACAAATAAAAATAGAGAAATATTACATAACATAAAGATTGTTCAACTTGCTTTTCAAACCTCAACAAAGAAATTATTCAGGTAAAATAATTCCTCTATTTTGCCTTTTGTTGTTTGTGTTTGTGTAATAAAGTTCAATAATTTATTTTTCAGGTAGAACATTATTATGCACTTACTAACTAAATGCTACACAAATCACTAGAAGAAAATAAACACCATCTAAGTCATTAACTCTGCCCTTAGGTTACTCATAAATTACTGGAAGGGAAGTGACAAACAACATGATAAGAAATAATATAAAGAGAATGTGGTGTGGATTAAGATACAAGAATAAGGATGTGCTGGAAAATCTATATCAGCTCCTCAGAAACAAAATCCATGATTTTAGCGTTTTCTGCTTTTCGTGATACAAAGACTCCCATCATGCTTGCTTTGGAACTGGCAACTTGAGATCACCAAGCACACGTCGGGTGGGAGAGACGTTGGCAGACAGGAGTGGCCCGGCTATACTTCACGAAGGAGGTATAATCTGAGGCTACGCTGGAATCGTGTGTAGAAATGAGCTCAAGAAAAATGGGTTCCAGATTTGGGGACATATAAACAATGCATACAGTCAGGATGGATGTGGAATAGTCAGGCAAGGATATACAACGTTGAGTAAGGGCTAAATAATTATACTCTGTAAATAATAAATGTCGACGATTGAAGCTACTTTTTTTGAGAAACTCTGGGCTGAGTATCCTATGAGGAAAGTTGGGTGCTACAGATTTCTGGGACAAAAAACCTCTCACTTTATGATGCTTCATCCTCCACTTCTGTCCCCAGAAACTATATTAGGTTCAATGTGTGGACTAAATCAGAAACAACTGTGTGGACTAAATCAGAAACAACATTGACATTTGCTTCTTAGTTTTGAGTTATTATACTAATAATCAACAAATGTCTAATCATCAAATAGAGAATTAGCAGATTATTCTAAGAAGGACGAAATGAAACATTTGCATCCAGATTGTTAGTTTAGGGTCTGTTGCTGGGAGAACAAATCTGAAATAATAGACACCATCATTTTCTATGATAAATCAAATTACATCTAGTAGACATTTACTATATTGAAAGCCATTATCACATAAGTGATGAGAATGTTGTCAACCTACCTATCAATAAATGCATGATGAAGAAGAAAGATGGGATCATTGGCAGATCCTTGTACCTGGGACATCGTTCCATTCATAAATATGTGCAGGGCGTTGTGCATGCTGCTTTTAGAGGCATCTGCTAGTCCAGTAAGTGGATTAGCAAATCCTGTTGATATAAGAGAAAATTGAAAAAAAATTATTTTCAGTTTATCACAATGGCTGAAAATCTAAGTGATTATCTTACCAGTGCTGTAGTTACACTCTTCAGAAATAAAAGAAAACCTTATTCACAAGGATGAAAGCACAATTCATTATGTATTGGAATTCTTGATATTGAGTATGCCTAGTTAGTGTTTGATGAATTTTGGGAATTGAGTAGCGTTAATCTGGAAACAATGAACTGCATTAACCAAACGGAATAGGCTCAGTCAATTTGTATTTCTTCCGGTTGATCCTGCCTCTGGTTCCTCCTTTAGATACTGAAAGGTTGTCCTTGTTATGTGCCATTGTGCTAGGACCATAGAAACCCCATGTACAATGAACGAAAACCCCTCTCTGTCCTGACTCAGCCTCAAAATGGTTGTTTTGTTTGAGCCCAGGAATAGAATACTGAAAAGTAGTAAGAGTATTGTGTAATATTCACTCTAGTTACTCTCATTTAAACCTTTAACTGTACTCAGGGAAGATTTTTACAGCCTGTGCCCCCTTGCTTTCCAGTGAATAGTTTTAATTTTGGCTCATGAGTCCATAGAAAGCATAACATTTGTGATGTTTCCACATTATAATTCATCATGGACAGTACCGAAGACATCCATTAATTATGTATCTGACTTGGCAAAAACACTTGTTTCAAATTAATCAGAATTCTGATAAATTGTTTTATGCACTATTTGGAATAATAATAATGGAGATCATTATGATAATAGCAGTTGAGTTCCATGCTTTTTGTGCCACACACCCTTCAATATTTGCAACAACCCTCTCACGTAAATGTTCTTATTCCCCATTGGGAAGAAAACGCCCTCAAAGAAGTCTGTTTCTCAGTGCGACTCAGGTAAGGGGAGAGTTTGGATGTAACTCCTACGAAATCAGACGTCCAAACCCAAGCTCTCATTTAGTGATTTGTTTTAATAGTCACTCACATATTCCTGGGGAAGTGGTAGAGTAAGTTAGCATGTCAGTGTTCTTTCACACAGGATACACAGGTAGAACGAAGATAAAATAATAGATCAAAAAGGCAGAGTGACAAAGCTACATTTAAGCAAGAACCAATTTGGGGAAATATGGTGAAGGGGATATGATTGAATTTCAGAATTAAGAAATAGCAAGCAAGCAGAACTGTGAGTAAAATTATAATAACAATCAAAGGTCATGAATAGATAGTAAAAGCACTAGAAGTCAGGCAGGATAGGCCCAAACCCAAACCAACTGAGTTGACACTACCTCAGAGTAACCTTGACGATGAGGTAAAATTCTCCATGGGGTTTCCAAGGCCAAAATTCTTTACTGAAGCCAACTGCCACCTTTTTCTCCGGTAGAGTGGCTGGTGGGTTTGAACTGCTAACTTTGTGGTTAGCGGCCAAGCACTTAACCACTGACCATCAGGCTCCTTAGGGGAGGTCTTGCTTCATTTTATACAGTTAGAATAATTTTCTCAGCAAGCTGCATTTTTTAAATTAATTTTTCATTGTGAATAGGTGGAGGATGGAGTTACAGTTCAGATCATCAACGAGGCATTGAGTAGTTCGAACTATTCATCAACCCCATCACCCAGCCCCATGTCCTATCCTCTCCCTCCCCTGATTTCACTTCTCCCTCTATGAATCTCTACCCGCCCTTCTACCCAAGGGAATTCCTGGCAACCTTCCAGTCAGTTACTCCCTCGCTGTCCTTGCCTTGAGAACCTTCAAAGTCTGCCTCTTTGTTATATAAATCTTTGTCTCAGCGTTTCTCCTTATAATAGCCGTCTCACACAATAATTGTTTTTTTTTGTGTGTGTAATTGACTAACTTCACTCTGCATACAGCTCTCCAGCTTCTTCCAAGTCATCATGTGCTTCATGTTTTCGTCTTTTTGTTTTTAAAGCAACGCATAAAATTCCATTGTGTGCATGTACCGGCGTTTCTTTATCTGATCTCCTACTTACTAATGGGCCTTTGGCTGTTTCCAGCTTCCTGCTACTGTGAACAGAGCTGCAATGAACATAAGAGTGCACATGTTTCTTGTGTACTGGCTCTTACTTCTTTAGAGTGTCTCTGCAGCCAAAGTATTTCTGGTGCAAATGGAGTTTCTATTCCCAGTTGTTTGAGGTAGTGCCAACTCACTTCCCACAATGGTTGTACATCTTAACAGAACACTAGTAGTGTATAAGAGTTCAAATCTCTCCACACTCTCTCCACAATTTGTTGTCCGCTCTTTTTATATCTGGGATGGTATTGCCTGTGTAAGGTATCTCATATTTATTTGCATCTCCCGGGTGGCTAATGATCGTGAGCATTCTTTCATATGTTTGTTAATAATTTGGATGTAAATTTTGGTGATCTGTTTATTCATCTACTTTGCCTACTTTATAATTAGAGTATTCAATTTTTTTCTTATCTAGTTATTGCCGTTTTCTATACATTTTAAAGATCTGTCTGTTGTGCTGTTGTGAAAGATTTTCTTCTCAGTGTGTGAATACTCCTTTTACTCTTTTGATGAAGTCTTTTGATGAACATGTGTCTTATGTTTATTAGGCCCCAGACATTTATTTTATCTTTTACTGTGTTTTTTTCCATTAGTATGTTTGGTAGTATATCTGTACCTTACAGGAGGGCCGTCAACCTTGTCCCTAGTTTCTCATTGATAGACTTATTGTTCTGGAACACATTTAAAACTTTTGTCCATCTGGAGTTCATTTTTGTACGCAGGGAGAGGGATACTACAGATGTTTTTGTTGTTATTTCAGTACTTATTGCTTCAGAACCCCACATGCAACCAGGTGCTGTGGAGTGCACGTTGACTCATGGTGACTCCATATGTCTTAGAAGAGCTGTGCTCCCATGGGTGGTCACCGACTGTGAGCTTTAAGATCTCCAGGTTTTTCTTTCTTCTGTGTCACCCCTGCTTAGTAACCAGAAAAGTGGTGGGTTTTTTTTCTCTTTCAGGTTATCCAAAATACGATAGAGAATTGCACAACTTAAAGTGGGGCAGAACTCTCTGCTTCACAAAGACTTCTTCATGCACTTGTAAAACGTATATCCCTTGACTCTTGCATAAATGCCCCCTGCTCTCCCATTGCTGTGAGTCCCAGCATCTCTGTCTCTTATCTGGCCATTTATGCACATCTTTTTAACTTACTTTACTCTCTTGTGATGATTATACCAAGTCCTGTTCCCTCCAGCCCACCCAAACAAGATACACTTTCCTTCCGAATAACTCTCTTTTCTATGGCATCTGTTATGAATACATGGTATAGATGACACTTAGTATGTCAGGCATGTGTGTAAGAACTTGATGAGAACCACTGCCGAAAGCTTTCAGGAGGACCCTACACGTGGGAACTCCTGGTGGCACAATCCTTAAATGCTCCATTGCTAACAAATACTTTGTCAGTGGAATCCAGTGTTTCTGTGGAAGAAAAACGTGGCCTTGAAAACTCTATGAGGCAGTTACACTTTGTCCTAGAGAGTCCTTGAGTCAAAATCAATACCATGGCACCTACCAGAGGTGGGGAGTCAGACTTCAGGAGGGGTGAAAGATGCATCCTTCTTCTGTACAGCCAGAGAAGGGAAGCTGTGAAAGGGTAGGTGGAAAAAAAGTGTCCAAGAGCCTCTTCAATCAGAGTAAGTTTTAAAAAGTTAATTGGGGAGGATCTAGAAATAATAATCCTTAGAAATCTGTGTACCATTTACTTGTTAGAAAGTGTTTATAAACCTGTAGTCATGTGACTGTTCTACTTTGAAAATGGTGGTGCAAAAAATATGCTTGAGCATATGTAGGTTTACATTCTATAACACGGAGCCTGATCATGATTTTCCTCCAATTAGTTACCTTATTACAACCTCAGCTTCTTCACTGGTGAAACAAGAATTGTGGCGAGGGTTCATTTTTATAGCAGATGTGAGGCATTAAGTATAGGATATGGAACACAATGGATCCTTCCTGTCTTATAGCTATTCTTATTATAACACCTTATTGTGATGGAATGACCAAAAGATTGGCTATTTGATCCCACCTGCTCAGAGACAGAAAGGCCCGGACATAAAGTTTGCAGCCAAGAAAACCCTATGAAGGAGTCCTAATTTGTCACATGGGGTTGCTGTTGGTCTCCACGGCACTGAAGAATACAGCATTGCAGTTCATAAGTATGTGATTATCATGAAGGATACTAGCCAAGGACATGTGCGCTCCCACTCCATCCCTTCAGAAAAGCCTCCATTGTTGCAGCTCCCTGTACCAGGACTCATTCCAACTCTAGCTATGCCTCCAACTTCCTGGTCTCCAAGAAATCTGCCTGCTACTTGTCATTCAACCGCAGGTGTTCAAGCACAATCCAAGGAAATGCGCCTGACGTTCTCATAATGTGTTCAGCAAGGTTATGGTTTCTTTACTCCCAGGTTATGCTGCCTTCCCAGCTGTTGCTTCTAAGGGAGCCTCCAGCATGGCCAAGACAGGGCTTCCAGATAAGAAGTATGTAAGAATGAGACCATACCCAGCCTTGTGGTTGTAGGAACCAGAATGTTAATATAGAGATTCTTATTATTTTAATAATTTAAAAAGAACTTGTGTCTTCAAGTAGGAAATGCCTCAGAAGTAGGACTCAAGTACTTTGTGTTCATTTTCCAAAATTAAATGAAAAAGGACATCTTTGGATTTAAAAGAAAAGCATATATTAATTATGCATCATTCACTTTTCCTGCCCTACAGAAAATAAGAATGCAAAAGATGAACGCTCACCATAGGACTCAAAAAAGGCCTTCAGAGAACGTTGGTAGTTGTCACCTGATAGAGGAAATTTATTTATGGATATGAATCATGTAAAAAAGTGAATATTTTCTATTGTATGTCTTCATTGTTGGCCAAAGATATCACTTTAAAAGTTAGAAATGATTGCAGCAGTATCAGTAGCTTGCCTTGCTGAGACTTTATCATTTGGAAGAAAGAGTCAAAGAGTTAAATATAGGC